ATATATATATATATATATATATGGGGTGGAACCACACCCTGTAGTCATAGCCAAAACATTCTATATGAATATAAGGTTTCCTACGTTACATACTGACGAACTGTGAATGTTTTTGAGGTTGTGACGTCGCTACCACCGCTGTCATTGTCGAACGAGGGCAAGATGCCGCAGATGGGTCTCGATAGTTTGAACCAGGTGACCGCGTTCCTAAAGAGTGCAACGTTGCCCAGCTGTGGTGCAGACACGCTCGGGAAGAGACTGTCATCGGAGCTACTGCTAGGTTTGTGTGGTTATGCCAGTCACATCCATGTTATTCAGGAAGCTGCCTGCATACATTAATATGCACGTGTGCACTGCACGTATGCTCCAATCTGCTCCAATCTGTGGATTGTACACCTGTCTCTAAAAAGTGTTTAAATTTCTTTTTTTGTTTTATAATTCGACATTGAAGGCCAAATAAACATAACAAATGGTTTAGTAGAATGCCAAATTTTGACTGCTCTCCACACACCGTCTGCCATCTAGTGGGTATTATAACATAAAGGACACTTCTAGATTTGTCCTTGAGTTGCAACTAAATGGTAAACCCACCTTTATCTATAGAATGGAGACCTGCCTATAAAAGTCATTCGCGTATCTTTAAAGTGATTGCTATCTACCAGTCCGACTGTACATTTTGCATTTGCAATGCATTTGCATTTGCATTGCATTTGCATTTGAATTGCATTTTGACCGATTGTTTCCACAGGTCTGGCGTGCCAGCGTGGATCTCTGCACCATCTTTTGGATTGGGTTGACATGGCTCTATGTGCCTCAGCGTCATCTAGTGATGAGAGCAGTGAAGTCAACTGCATCACCTATCAGTTCTTCTTTGATGTGCTGCATCAGATGAAACGCTCTGCCGTAAGCTCTCTTCCTTATACCAGCTGTAAGGTCTAATCTCTAATTGGGTGTGGGTAGACAAATTTATTCTGTCTAGATGTTCTTAGGCTTCAGCCGATAGCTGATAACCTGCCTGGCGACATATTTACTTTTGCCTATTTTGATCACAGCAATCAAATCCATTTCATAATTCACCTATTGACCTGTCATTTTGCTGTCTGGCTTTACCAAGTTTTTATTTTTTCATGTTGCAGGGAAGTACTGACACCTTCCATCCAGTGCTGTTTCCCATCAAGTGCAATAGGCAGGGACAAACACCCCTGTATCAGGCAGCTATGTGTTTGATGGAAGAGGTACGTAAAGCATCACTCATACACACACACACACATGGCTTGTCTCTAGCAATTTTCTACTTCCAACTGATTGCAAGCAGTAGCAACAGCAGCCTCTGATCGACTTTACTAGAGGGTTAAATCTAATTACTTGCTGTTGTTATGCGCTGCATCTTTGACTCATAACAAGCGTGAACGCCCATCCCCACACGTTTGTACGTTCTCTGCAGGTCACCAAGCTAGCATCTGACTACGCCAAGTCTTGCTCCTGTGCGGATGAGAACAAGAACACGGGATGCGATGGCGCGGACGTCGTGGCGGCGAGTGAGCAGAGCGAGGCGTACGTGTGGGGCAGCAACAGCAGCCACCAGCTAGCTGAAGGCAGCCAGGAGAAGGTCTTGCAGCCGAAGCATGCCACCAGCTTCGGTGGTTCGCAGCAGGTGTGTGTGTGAGCGTGTGTGCACGTGCGTGCGTTTGTGTGTGTGTCTGTGGGTATGTGTGCGTGCATGCGTTTGTGCTTAAATTATGAAAAATGCAAGAATGGTTGCACAACTGATGACTTATAATTTCCTGTGGTTTATTGGCATGCAATAAAAACATCTCTGTTGACAACTACTCGTCGTGCATTTAAACCATTAAATACCCATCTCTACTGATTTCAGATCGAAGCTGGCCAGTACTGTACCTTCATGATTTGGAACGACGGGAGTGTGAGCGCTTGTGGAAAGGGCAGCTATGGACGGCTAGGTAGGCTGCCATTTCCGATCCCACATACTTTTCTTCGGCCACATAATTGGTCATCGATAGGCATCCCATATTTGCATGCAGTGATGAAGATGCAGTGACACTCGATTTATTATGAAAAAGACCGCTGTCGCAAACCGTAAATCTTTGCCGATGCATGCACTGGATTTTGGTGCGACCCGACTCAGGTAACCTCCTCCTTGCAGACTCGATTTATGTATTCCAATCTTCTGATCATCAGTCATAGCAACGACCCCTCCAGGCTGCTGCGTGTCATTTTTACCAATTACGGGAGAAGCCTCCATAAAACCTCATGCCTTCTCACCGAGTCACCCGTCAGGCACCCGTCGACCCGTGACGTGACACACGTCTTTACGAGCGAGACAACATAGCGCGTCGTTTCCCCGCAGGTCTCGGCGACTCCAACAACCAGCCTCAGCCGAAGAAGCTCGTGCTGGAGCCGGCGCGCTACATCCGCAAGGTGTCCTCGAGCAAGGGCTCGGACGGACACACGCTCGCGCTCACCGTGGACGGCGAGGTGTTCAGCTGGGGAGACGGCGACTACGGCAAGCTGGGGCACGGCAACAGCTCGACGCAGAAGTACCCGCGCCTCATCCAGGGCGGCCTCCACGGCAAGACGATCAAGTGCATCTCAGCCGGATACCGGCACAGCGCTGCTGTCACCGAGGAGGGAGAGCTGTACACGTGGGGAGAGGGCGACTACGGGCGGTTAGGTACGTGAGCACGGCAACGACGGTGACCGCGAGTTACGCAGTCGAACACCCGGTAAATGTGACTCGTATATATGAGTATTTGTTGGTAGCATTGCTACTGGGTGGTCGAACATCTGGTGTAAGTGCATTGAGTATAGTATATATATAATATCATAATATCATATCATAATTTGATTATTAATAATATATTAATTATAATTAATAATATATAATATTAGTTGATTGCGTTTCTGCTAACATCCAGGATAAATCTGTTAAGTATATGTTGACAGTATTGGGTAAACTTATAGGATCTTTAATCATCAGGGCACGGTGACAGCAACAGCAAGAATCTTCCTACCCTGGTGAAGGACATCAGTAGTGTAGGGCAGGTGTTTTGTGGCAGCTCTCACACGGTCGCTGTCTCGCAAGATGGCAGAACGGTGTGGTCGTTTGGTGCCGGAGACAATGGTACGTGTTTTCTTCGCTCACGTCAAGTTTGTCCCAAGTTTGTGTCCGGTCTCATGTTTGTGTATGGTTTCTCTTTTAGGGTGAAGCTGGGAAAATTTGAAAATAAATGTTCTTACTTATCAACACGTGATTGGTGGTCCACAATCAGGAACATGATCAGAATGTTAAATATCTCTAATGTGTAAGATGTTTCGTGTTTTCCCCAAGAAAAATGGGGAAAATCTTTTGTGTTTACATGTCCCTTTAGAAAAACATGTTAAAGAAATGCCAAAAAATGATAAACATACATGTAAAATACAGATATTATATTTGAACAAAATTAAAGTGTGAAAAGTAAAAACCTAATATACTATATTCTATTAGTATATTCTAATATACTAATCGTCACAGATTTTTGTATGCGTGATGTTTTTATATTTGCAGGTAAACTTGGACACGGTGATACAAATCGGGTATATCGACCGAAGGTAATTGAGACGTTCATTGGCCTGTTCATCAGGAAAGTTGTATGCGGGAGTCAGTCATCCTTGGCATTGACATCAACTGGACAGGTAATGCTATTAATGGGGCACTGCGCTTAATCGTTTGTCATTAACGGACAAATACTCATTCGGCTACTAACTGCATAAAAGGTAAATTAATTTATTCCTGGTTTTATTCCTAAGTAAATCCGACTTGAGGAAAAATACACATTCAATTTCAGTTTCGAATCGAATGATAAATTACATTCTTGCCTTCATGATGAAGTAGAACAGATTTTTGAGTGTGTGAGTGAGTGAGTGAGTGAGTATGCTTGAGTGTGAGTGAGTGAGCTTGACGTGTGAGTGAGGCCAGTATGCCCTTGAGTGTGAGTGCAGCTGCAGATATGCTTGAGATGTTGTGTGACGGTGAGTATGCCTTGAGTGTGAGTGAGTGAGTATGCTTGAGTGTGAGTGAGTGCAGCTATGCTTGAGTCGTGAGGGAGTTGAGTATGCTTGGAGTGTGAGTGAGTCGAGTAATGCTGAGTTGTGAGGGAGTGAGTGCCAATGAATGCTTGAGTGTTGAGGAGGAGTACGCGAGTGTGAGTGAGTCGAGTATGCTTGAGTGTGAGTGAGTGAGTATGCTTGAGTGTGAGTGAGTGAGTATGCTTGAGTGTGAGTGAGTGAGTATGCTTGAGTGTGAGTGAGTGAGTATGCTTGAGTGTGAGTGTGAGTGTAATAACACGCGATTATCGCGAGTTATCAAGGTGTCTGTTACGGCGCATCCTCTAACCTCGCTTTCTTGCGTGCGCGCCGCAGGTGTACTCGTGGGGCACGGGCTCATGCCTGGGATGCGGCAGCGCGGAATCCTCGGCTCTCCGTCCCCATCTCATCGACGAGCTGTCCCAAGTACGCATCGTCGACATCGCGTGTGGAGACAGCCACTGTCTCTCGCTCACACACGGTAAGCAACGCCGCTGTAAGATTATATATATACTGCACTTAGCAGTCAGTGCTCGAAGTTAGGGACTTAACTGATGTGATACGTAGATCAGGGTGGTGTGATTAGCAGCCTGAATATGTGTCCGTGAACATTTGTGCGAAAAATCGTTTATGTAACGGAGATATCTCGGCAAGGTTACGAGCTACATGTCTGGCATAGGAGATGTGGGGGAAATTCGTACAGAATCTGTAGCTTTCTAGCAACAAGTCGCTTTCTGATACTGTAAGAATTTAAATGGTATTACATTGAATGTGTTCCAAAATGGGCTTATGAGAGGAAATTCTCCGTCTGGCGTCTTTATCTCCTGTCTGTTTTATAGACATTGAAGGTGTTGGACCACTACACAGCAGTGAAAAAAATACACGGGGGCTCGGGGCGATTTAGCCCCCGAAATGTCAAAAAGAGCCTCGGAAATGCCAAAAAGAGCCCCCGTAAATTTGCATAGAGTTCAATGCAAACCAAATTTTAGAGTGCTATTTTCATGCACGCGAGCTTGAAACGTAGCCCCCGAAAAAGAAATAATATTTTTTTCCCTGCTACACAGTAGATTGATCACGCATTTACTCATTAAACCGAGAAAGATATTTCGGAACTCTGTTATCTCTGTGTGAGTGGTCAAGTCTCACGTGATGGCTAAAGATTGATGACAACACTTGGTTCTGTTGCTCAGACAATGAGCTCTACTCGTGGGGAAACAACTCGATGGGACAATGTGGTCAGGGGCATGCCACAAGTCCCATCACTCGTCCTGCCAAGGTCATCGGTTTGGAGGGCGTTCCCATCCATCAGATATCTGCAGGGACTTCGCACAGCATCGCGTGGACGGCTCTACCCATTGACAGGTGTGACTAGATTGTCAGCTAGGATTGAGAAAGTGTCTAGGAGTCTCAAGTGACTGCAACAATTGTGCCCTAGCGTCACATGCAATCGTGCACATTATGAATTTGTTCACTGTGATAAGCGTCACATGGCCGGCATTATGTTGGCAGTAAAATTGGCTGTCTGTTACACAAATAGGACTTGAAAATGTGGCGAGATGGCTAGGTAACTAATACTCTGTTAACTGAGTAACAATATATATATATATTTAACAATTATTCGCCGAAGGCGAGGTGAATCTTGTTGAATAATCCCCAGATGAAGTCGAGGGGATTAATCAACAAGATTCATCGAGCCTGAGGCGAATAATTGTTTTAGTATCATTGCCCGATATTTGGTACTTTCGGGGACAGCATTTTCTTTAAATTTGTAAATTTCGGCTTTCGTAACATTTACAAATCTAGCCGCCATTTTTGGCGCCACTACAATGTAAACCCTAGAGGTGATTATCGAAAAATAATCACCTAGGTTTCGACCAATCAGCGCGCAGGATTTCCTATAATCACTCGGGCGATGATACTAAATATATATATAATACAAGTTGGACTCCTGTAATCTGGCACCCTAGGTACTGGGGCTGGTGTTGCACCATTTAAAAATTCCAAACAACTAAAGTTCTAGTAAATAACATCTATAATATTGATACATCACCACGTCCTGACCACTTACATGTCATATTGAACGGTCAGAATATTAGTAAGAATAATAGTTGGAAATAAGCAGACACCACTGTAAGAGACAGTCACACATGTAAACAATGTTTGTTTGCATCCTGGGAAATGGTTGCAGAGCTGACTGGCAGGACTGCAAACTAAAGGCTGCTGGTTTTAAGTCTTAAGTCATTGCTGGGAGGTGAATGTTTTGCTCAGCGTTTCGTGCGTGTTGTCTCCCCAGGCAAGTGGTGGCCTGGCACCGGCCGTTCTGTGTCGATCTACAGGAGGCTACCTTCTCCATTCTTCGTACGTTCATGGAACGCTATTGCGACGGTTTCGACTGCCTGTTGCCCCCGACTCCATTCCCGACCGCCAGGTAACCTAGTGAACACCTACAAAGTAGGCAGTACACAATGGTTTACATTGATTCATCAACAGATTTAGATTTGTATTTAATCAAGGTTTTGCTCATATGTGCAGTATATGGTAAAAACAAAAGGAAGGTGAGGTTCCAGTCAGGAAATACTGTTGAATATCAAAGATATAAGTTATATTAATATTTAGATGAAAATTATTTTAAAGCCATATACACTAGACTAGTATGTGTGTGATTGACATGCGCTTTAATATTGTTGTCGTGTATGTGTTCCCGGTATGCAGCGATCACCACCAGTTTGTGCTGCTCTGCCTGAAATTGCTATGTACGCACCTGTCATTGGCACTCGCCGGTGGAGTTGCTTCTACAGTGCTGGGAAGCCAGGCCCGTCCGCTGAGGCATCTGCTTTTCCGACTGATGGACATGCACACTCCAGATTCCGTGCAAGTGGTATGTGGTTGTTGCACCCTCGTGCGTGAATTCGCTATGGTTACCCGCTCCCATCCAAAATCGTGCCCAGGAATGACCCCCTTGCCTGTGAAAAATGTCTGGGATTTCACGAGTTGAGAATAAACTATCTGCAGAGGACGTTCTATCGGGTTGGGAGAACCAGTAGATGTTAGACGAGAATTCTCTATCATTACAGATGGTCAGCGAGACACTGTCTATAGGAGCGGCACTGCTGCTGCCTCCGCTCACAGAGAGGATGGAGTTGCTACACTCTCTGCTTCCACAGGGCCCCGATAGATGGGACAGCCTCTCTAGGGGACAGGTAAGGAAGCCCACGGTGCAACACTTCTCCTTTAGGTTGGCCACCTGCTCTTCGCTTTCCTAATTTTTGCTTGGGGCACGTTTACTAAAACTCCCAAGGACAGAAATGAAAGTTCAGTTTGTTGGAGAGCTCGAAGTTTTTTGTTGATATATATATATCAATATATATATATAATTCATTATAAGAGAGAGAGAGAGAGAGAGAGAGAGAGAGAAAGAGAGAGAGAGAAAGAGAGAACATCAAAATACTTGCAATATATATTATTATTATATATCAATATATAATATATATACACATATGTATATAATATGTAGTGTATAGTATAGTGTTATATATATATAGACTGCTTTTGTGTGCGAGTTACTGTGGCTGTCACTGCTAATGAGCTGGCTTCATCTCGATATTAGTCGTCTTGCGGTGCGTGTTGCAGCGCATGCAGCTGGGCATCATCCTAACGAGCCTGCAGGACAACAACCACGTCGCGTCGCTGCTCGGATACTCGAGTCCCGTCGACCACAGCGACCCGCACTGCGGCCGCATGGGCCAGCCGGGCGACACCCACCTCGCTGAGGTGCTCATGAAGATGCTGCTGCGCAACCTGTCGTTTCACACCGTGAGTCCCGCTTTCTATGTCTGTCTCTGTCTCTTTCTATATATTTCTTAGTCTGTCTCTCTCTCTCTCTCCTGTGTCTCTTTCTATGTCTCTCGCTCTCTGTCTGTCTGTCTCTCTCTCTGTACTCTCTCTCATTCTCTCTCTCCTCTATCTTTCTCTCTCTCTCTATCTCTTTCTCTCGCTCTCTGTCTCTCTCTGTTTCTCTCTTTCTCTCTCTCACTCTCTCTCTCTCTCTTTCATGCTCACTCACTTTCTCTCCCTCTCTATCTGCCCCTCTCTATCTCTCTCTTGCTCTCTGTCTCTATCTGTCTCTTTCCCTCTCTATCTCTCTCTCTCGCTCTCTGTCTCTATCTGTCTCTCTCCCTCTCTCTCTCTCTCTCTCTCTCTCTCTCTCTCTCTCTCTGTCTATCTTTTATCTTATAAATAAAGTTAGATAGATTACCTGCATTTTCACTTGGTACAAAAAATGCTGTTAGTAGCAATAAAAATTTCTGAAGATCACTTTCTTGTGATGCAGAAACTGTAATTAATACCATGTAACACAAGTATAAATAAAATATAATTATCTTAATATTATCTTTAGTAATTTTTGTTCCTTGGTGAGCACTTCGTCGTTGATGTTGTTTCGTCGACGTAACACGGTGAGCGTCTGCTTGCAGGAGCAATCTCTGAATGAGCTAGAGAAGAACAGCGATAAGGAGCGCCTGCTGCAGACGTTTGAGGATGGGGCGCCACCATCGCACCTACACGAGCTTCTAGCCTCGCTGCAGAAGCACCTGCTCGTCTTCTGCCACGTCAACTCCGCAGAGCGCCAGCTGGTGAGAGAATCGTGCGATACGCGGACGCCACGACACGGTTTTAGTCGTGGAGAGCCATGCCGTCTTGGTTTCAGTCCTTTGTTAGTCTCTTAGACTTCAGCGAGGTCTAAGCTTCAATCAATTGGCTATACAAAGAGGTTCCTTCATATTTGTAATCTAATGTATGCAATGTAATGTGACATGTAATGTATTGTATTGTATATCTAATGTATGTATATGTGAAATGTTCACTTACTATTACTATTACTATGTGTACATAATGTAAAAAATGTATGTTGATTGTTATAGGTAATGCCTAGCATCGCCTTGCTACACAAACACCTGTCGCTAATGCTGCCCTTGGCAGGAGAGGTCGTTGCTAGGTCAGCTCAGCTGCTGCAGGAGAGCAATGGAAGTCAGTCTGTTAGAGAGAAGCTCTCTGGTGAGTCACCCCCATCCACACATACTTGTAGGTTAAAATTGGTTGATTGAGGTTGACCGATGCAGGTCTTGATACAGGATCGTGATACAGCTTTCTATAGCACGATTTTTAGATCGGATTACTTTGATGTATAATTTCCTGGCCTATTTTAAATTTATTCAAATGTAGGTTAAATTACTTTCCAAATCTCTCAATTACTTATTGGAATTGCCTTAAAAGTAAACATTTGATGGTATATTTTTAATAAATTCAGGCCTGCGATTGTTGATTTTTCAAATCAGTAATAATAACTATTTCTCAATGGCACATGATTATGAATGTGTTTTAATGTTGTTTCGGTGTGATGGACTTATAAGATTTGAAATGTCGCCTTTTCCTGTTTTTTTTCCCATTTGGCATTAATGACAAAAATACATATAAATGTGTAAAAAACATTCATAAAGTGTTCACAATCATCGCTGTCTCCCACTCATCGCTTCTCCGATGTTCTCACGCAAGTCTACCCGTGTTTCAGACGTGTTGTATCGGTCGGCGGCAGGTGCGATGCTCTCGCAGGTCATTCACTCGCTGCTGCTGCTGCCGGAGCCGTGCATGCGGCCACTGCTGCACGAGCTGCTCTCACTGCTGCCGCACCTCGACCGCCTCAACCGCATGCTGCCGGCCGCCTCCGCCGCCGAGGAGCAGGAGATCAGCGCGCCCGATCACGGTAATCGCGTGTCACGACGCTCGTCGAGGCACGGCTGCGGTCGCGGTGCGGTCGTGTGACGGTCGCTGTTGTTATGTCACAGTCGCGTTCATTGTGTTATGGTCGCGGTCATCATGTTGTGGTCGCGGTCATCATGTTGTGGTCACGGCCATTGTGTTTTGGTCTTTTGGTCATGGTCATTGTGTCACGGTCATGGTTGCGGGCATAATTTCATGCGTGCACGGGTGCACGGATATTGTGTCATAGTTGCGCTCATCAAGCCACGGTCACGGTCATTGTGTCACTGTCACGGTCATCATGTTCTAGTCATGGTCATTGTGTCACGGTAGCGGTCATCGTGTCACGGTCACGGTCATCGTGTCATGGTTGCAGTCGTCATGTTCTGTTCGTGGTCGTAATTTCATCGTTGCGGTTGTCATCATGTCATGGTGACGATCCTCAAACCACGGTTACCGTCATCGTGTCATGGTCGCTGTAATTACGTCACAATGTCATGGTGATCACGTCATCACTGCAGTAAATAAATTCCTAATCTATTTATTACTGTCTTCAATTCACGTTCTCTTCAGACATTCAATTTATATTTTCATTCTGCATCGAGGACTGATATGGGAAGCTGTCAAATGCTACATTTTCAGAATGTCTAGAGTTGCAGTGTAGTCCGGCAAAGGACTGGGTGTGGTTAGTGGACGTGGAGCGGGCCATTGCTCTGCTAGTGGGGCGATGCCTCGGGGGCATGCTGTTTGGACACCCTCTTTCACGCGAGGAGAAGGCAACAGAATCGTGGCTGGCATCAAGTTTGTTGAGTAATGGACTAGAGAGAAGCGTGGAGGATACAGGTGATTTGTTAATCAGATTAATTAGCCTATAAAGTAGGTGTTCAGGTGTGTACCCTTGCACGATGTAGGTGCATTTAATGAAATTAGTAAGATTAAATGAAGAATAATTTAATCAGATTGATAGGCAATGCAGGCGTTCCGGGTGTCCAATGTCAGATATGATAGTAAACTATTCGATGGGATTGAACATTTGTAGAAGGCTGTTTACGTTGTTCCTACCATTGTTCCTACTGTTGTTCTTACTGTTGTTCTTACTGTTGGTCCTACCATTGTTACCTGCGCTGACGTGTGCTGGTATTTGCATTGTAGAGTCGATGTTATCTGACTTGATGTCGTGTGAAGGGCCGTACGAAGTTGGCGAGCAGAGAGTGTCACCAGAGATCGCCATGTTGCTTGACCTCGCACTCGGGGTCAACCGTGAGCTTGTGCAGGACATCTGGGCGAGCATGCAGGAGTATGCCCTCTATAAAGGTACGGCAGCCCAGTCGGTGTGCAATCATGCCTCGTTTCATAGACCAGAATCGTTAGTGATGTTGGTCTGCTAAAATAAACATCCTGTAAACGATGTTATTTTAGCGTGGCTTGTGTGACATTGTTACATAGTTTTTACTGAAAATATTGCTCTTGTCCATTAAACGGTGCTTCAGTAAAGAAACCCTTTAGTAAACCTCCCAAAGAACCCTTTCCTAGTAAACCTCCCAAAGAACCCTTTCCTCATAAACCTCCCAAAGAACCCTTCCCTAGTAACACACGCACCTAAGGAAGACTCTGGCTCCTCATATCACAGACTGGGACACGGCGGACGTCGTCGGGGACTGGCTGCTTCAGCGCGTCTCTCGCTTCCTCCTCGCCTGCCTGCTGAAGCACTGCGGCCTGCTGAACGTGGCCATTCGCCGCCTGCGCGCCCAGCCCTCACGACAGCTGCTCTGCGTCTACCACTGCGTCTACAAGGTCCGTCGGAGAATCATCGCCCTCAAGAGGGCGCAGGCATCGGGTGAGTAGCGGTGGCCCCCCCTCGCATTGGGATTTTCGGATGCTGCGGGCATTTATTCATTGTATGTGGTAAACGGTGGTGTTGTCAAGGGATATTTTCGAACGTTATTAAGCTTGTTTTGATTCGTTTTGGCTCATGTTTGTCGAAGTAGTTTTGGCTAAATTAAGATGGGACAGGCAGTGCCTAAATTAGTTGCCCAATATGCAAAATGTTATTGTACATTTCTACGTACTCAATCACACTTTGGTCCACAATTTACTGAGCGCTTGTTTTCCTGATTATTGTGATTACTTATATACATATTATCATATATCTGTATATACATATATATGATATGGATTGACAGTGTAGTTATCAGCTATGTGATGGTCAGATTTAATATTGTACCACTATAATAATGTACATATGTATACGCACTGTAACTGATACTTTTACTTATTGTGGTCCTTCTTAGCTGGTCGCAAACCATCAGAGCGAAGTAAGAAGGCATCGGAGGCGGAAAAGGAGGAGCAGGAAGAAGAGACACTCACTGACGAACACACAGAGAAGGAAGTTGGTAAGACTGGGAAGTTGGGAAGTTGGTATGTGTGTGTGCGTGTGCGTACGTGCGTTTGTGTGTGTATGCGTGCATGCGCACATGTCGTGCGTGTGTGTGTACGTACGTGTGCTTGTGTGCGTGCGTGCATGCGTGCGTGAATGTGTGTGCGTGCGTGCATGCACGCATGTCTGCGCATCAACGTCTGTAACAGCTGCTGACATTCTCTCTCGCGCGCGCCGCCTTGCAGACGACGAGAACGGCGGCGGGGAGCCGGATCAGATCCTGCCGGCGGTGACGACATACGAGACGACGTGCCGCGCCGTCATGCAGCGCTGCAGCTTCCTTCTCGTCGGTGTGAAGACCGCGCTGCCGGGCGAGGAGGACATCCTCAGCTCACAGCATCGCTTCCTCACGAAGGAGGACTCCGGACGGCTGGAGACCGTCGCCTACAACGTTGAGGATATGGGTGAGAGAGAGAGAGAGGGCGAGAGGGGGAGAAAGAGCGAGGGGGAGAGGGGGAGAAAGAGAGGGTAGAGTGACAGAGAGAGTGGGGGAGAGAGGGAGAGAGAGAGAGAGAGGAAGTGAGAGAGAGAGAGAAAAAAGAGGGAGAGATAGATAGATGGAGAGAGCGATAGAGAAAGAAAGAGAGAGATAGCTAGATATATAACTCTTATATAACTGTTATTGTAATATAAATTGCATAAAAGTTGCTATAATTGTTTCCTGCTAATATGAGAAAGGGATCCTGGTTGTTTCAGATGACAGTGGATTGCGGATGGCTGGCGCATCACGGAGCGGTCGCAACAGCCGTAATTCTCAGGCTCATCTGTCACTGGAGGATAGCGCTTCCGCCAGCGTCCTGAGTCCTCGCTACTCCCCCAGCTATCAGGGAAGCACGGAAGACGTGCAGCAAAGCACGGCCTGTGAGTACTAGCGTGTTTTCCTGGAAGTTTCGTAGTATATAGGCTATCATAATGCTCTGTGTTTTCAGGGAGTGCAGGAACACACTGGGTTTGAATACTAACCTGTAATACTACTTATATACAACTTACTATACTAACCCTAACCCATTTGCCTTGAAGTTTTGTAGTGAATGGGCATATCGGTTTCTATATTGTTCTGCATTCACATTGCGATTGAATGCCGTTGTGATCATTGAGTAATCTTCGTCATCTTCATTGTGATTTGATTCATTCTTCATGATTCATTCTTCATCGTGATGTTTTATCCATGATTCATCTTTGATTCTTAATGGCTCTAATGCAGCATCCACGGTGCAGTCACTGAAGTCAGTGAAGGAAGCCCTGCGCAGGCTGAGGTGGCGGCAGGATCGCATGGGACTCTGCAGCGGTCGCAACATCAGCACGACGAGTGTCGTGTCTCGTCTCACGCACAGGTAGGTGGCTCCCGGCACGTTTTTTGTGGTGGGTATACAAAATGAGGGGGAGTGCGCGAGGGTGGTGGGTGTGTGGTTATATTTGCAAGGAACTGAATTCTGAGACTGGGTTTCGTGGCACGTATAGGACCCGATAAATGTGGTTCCGTTCCGAGGACCGGAAAAAGTGTGAGGCTCTGAACGCTACACTGCAGGAATTACTTGCATAACAGACGATGTCTATTATAGTGAAACTTTTATTAAAGGTAGAAGTATTTTGCAGCATACTTCAGTTCGTCTGCGATGACACAAGCAGTGGAGGGAACAAACAAGATAGTCCTGCTGGTGTGTGCACCGAACCACACACGATCGCCTTGGCAATGGATTATCAACAAACACGTGCCGAGGTCTGCACACGAGAAGATACGAGACGATATATGCTTGAAATCAGTATCACATGCAAAAGAACATCAGATAATATATAATAAATGGAAAAATAATGTGTGGAAATATATGACTCCTGTTAGCTGGCAAAATGTGAATACTTGATTTTTTTACGTGTAGCCGTTGTATCTTAGTAGTTATCCTATAATTGACCAATCTCCCTTAAACAATAAGTCATGCTCCCCCTGGATATGCTATGTACGTCCATCAAGCTTACCACGTTTGTGAGAATACACGGACGTTTGCATGCCAGGATGTTGAGTTCGCAGCACTATGTTACTAAACGTTGTTTATAGAATGTCCTGTCTCAGTGTTGATTGGCTAAAATAGTCTCCTGACGAAAACAACAGTCAGATGGGTCAATCGTTACTATCACACTTATGCATCTTTTCTTCTACGTGTTTCTCCTCCATTGCAGTGTCGCCTGAAGGCCCTCAACCAGATTCTCGAGCTGCTATCGACTGCTCGGGAGAAGGGCACGGAGGAGGAGGAGGTGTGGCGGGCGAGCCGGCCAGCGTTTGTCTACTCACCTCCCAGTGTGACGTCGACGACGCTGCTACACTCTGTGCACATGCAACTGCTGCAGGGATGCTTCGGGCTCGGTCACTTCCAGGCCGACATGGCCGCGGGGTCGCAGCTCTACCACTACCAGGTGGCGCTACCGTTGTTTATTTCGCTGCCGATTGCGTTCTTTGCACTCGACGTTACAAACGTACCTCTCAGACATTGTGACGTTAGCTCTTAGAAGTTATGACATTAGCTCCTAGAAGTTGTGACTTTAGCTGTTAGAAGTTGTGACTTAAGCTCTCAGAAATTATGACGTTTTTAAAGGTCACAAGTTTAATTCTCGGAAGCAGGACTTTAGCTTTCAGGTTTTACGTTTTTGTTAACCTTTACCAGTTGAAAGTTGCCTACAAACGACAAAGCTCTTGGCATGTATTTTTGTAGCTTTAAAAGGTCACCTATATTTAACGTTTGAAGCGTTACATCCCTGATGAGGATCGTTAGCTAGTGTTGTGAATGATTGCACTCATGTAAAGAGTCGTGGATTTTAATGTGGAGTTTTTTCCTGTAACTTCTGGCCAGGATGGAATTAAAGCGGCTAGCAGTAGTACTCAGCATCAGATTCAGACGGCCGTACACCACATCTATGAGCATCTAGTCAACACGCTGTATGACAGCGAGCAACCTGGCTCTCTTGGTAAAGGTACATCACTACCTCTCTAATATTTGATTGTATTTGCCATGTGGTGTCCGTGGTAATAGTCTAGTTATTAAATTTAAAAAAATATCTATAGTAGTCTAGTATTATTTTATAGACTGCTACGTGTCATGAGCCATAATCCCAGACATTTAAATGTTTATTCTTATTGCATCTTCTTATTTTGCGATATCATTTAAACCGATTACGTTGAGAAGCATTTGTTCTGTTTACAGAAGCGAGGCAGCGCCTACAGCTGGTAACCATGTTCACACTGAGTGTGAAGTACCAACCAGCAGATATCACGCTGGCCGTCAACTGTAACATGCTACAGTTACTGTCCAAGTAAGCAGACGGGTAATAGAATGCGATGAAGAAATGGCGTGTATTTTTTTTTTAGCTATGTTATTTGTCTCAGTTTGAGACTTGTACGATCTGAGTGGCATGACCGTTACTGTGATTTTGTCAAATGAAAACCTATGAAATAGATTGAATGTTATTGTAGTCTAATCGATTGCTCATCGCAGGAGCAAACTTACAGATTCATAGTTGATATAAAGAGTCGTACAGAAGGAGGTTGAGATTAAGCTTGATTTGAGTCTATGCACATAGTTCATGGGAAAAATGTTAGAATCCCTACTCTGAGGATCCTACCTCAAAGTTGAATTCCTACTTCATATTGGGTAGAAATTCTGTTATTAGTTATGTATATGTAAGTGAAACGCAGGAAGACGTTCCTATGTATTATTTCTGTTCTTTCTCACTCTCATAAGGCTGTGTCTTGGCATGACCTCTCTGAAGCACCACTACCCTCCGCTGTGCAGCGGATCTGACAACCTACCATTACTGTTGCAAGTTTCTAGTATGAGGCTTCTACAGATACTTGAGATAACAACAAGGTATAGTGTTATAAAGGCTAGATGTGATGTGCCATACTTGCTTGTATGTCAGGCATTGTGAGAGGGTGAGAGGCAGAGATGAGAACTAGAAAGTGAGAGGAAGCGAAATCAGAGAGAGAGAGAGAAAGAGAGAGAAAGCGGGAGCTAAGAGGGAGAGAGAGAACGGGAGTGAAGAGGGAGAGAGAGAGAGAGAGAGAGAGAGAGAGAGAGAGAGAGAGAGAGAGAGAGAGAGAGAGAGAGAGAGAGAGAGAGAGAGAGAGAGAGAGAGAGCTAAGAGGGAGAGAGAGAACGGGAGTGAAGAGAGAGAGAGAGAGAGAGAGAGAGAGAGAGAGAGAGAGAGAGAGAGAGATAAAGAGAGAGCAACAGAAAGAGAGAGAGCAACAGAAAGAGAGAGAGAGCAACAGAAAGAGAGCGTAAGAAGGAGAGACAGAGAAGAGAGTAAAAAGAGAAAAGGAGAGATACAGCACTGAAAGGAAATCGAAACAGCGGAAGATAGAGAGAGAGAGAGCGAGCGAGTGAGAGTTAGAGCGAGAGAGAGAGAGAGAGAGAGAGAGAGAGAGAGAGAGAGAGAGAGAAAGAGAGACGAAAGAACGAATAGAAGAGTCCACATACATCGTCCATGTTTCCCTGCCGCCATCATTTTCTCTTTCTTGTTCCTTACAGCATCTACTCGAGCAAGCTGAGCAGTGCGGTGCTGCAGGTGGTCGTAGACCTGCTCTTCACGCACGTGCGCGCCGCGTTCAAGGGCTGCTGTGGCTGCGATGTCAAGCTGCTACGCTCGCCTTCCGTCGGGTCCTCCAAGGAAGAGATACTGGCAGCGAGTAGGGAGGAAGCCAGCACCAGCAAGAAACGTAAGCGGAGCGAGAACCACGAGATGAAGCTCTTCTCGGTGGCGTGGCGTAGTGAAGATGGCATATGGCTGTACACTAGTGCTTACAGAGTGGATCGGTGTCCGGTTGTAAGAATTGCTGAATGTGGCTGCGAAATAGTTAACTAGAAAGTTCGGTGACATATTTTTTCGATATTTTTGATATTGAACCGATTATTATAATGAAATAATAGCTTCTTATATAATGTAATCGTATTAGTGCATCTAACTAATTCACGTGTAATTGCAGAGATGGACCATCCAGCTAAAATGAATTATAGTTGGACACGTGATCATGTTTGTTATGCAGGTTTTATGACTTGAGATGCGTGGAAAACTGGTCACACCTGTAGTGCAGCGATTAATGATTTGCAGGTGCGCTGAGTAAGAAGGTGGCGGAGATGGCACTGGCCGACCTTCTAGTATTCCTGCGCAGAATTGCCTCCTCAAAGGAAATTCAGGCGATGATGGCCAAGGAGGACTGGGTGGATATGCTTCTGACCATCACAGGACACACTCAGACAGGTATGAATATCTGTTGTAGGCAGTGTGCTCGAAACTCGAATTCCAGGTCACCCACATGTCAAAATTTGGGTCAGTGAAAATTTCAATCCATTCGCCCCAAAAAAATCCACTAGTCCGAAATTTAATTTTCTATTCCAACATCACCTATCCCATCACTTAATTACCTCTATCAGGAAGGGAAGCGTAAAACGTATCAGCAAAAAAATGCAGTGAGTGATAATAAATACAAAATATATACACAAATTCTTTTCTGTCTTAGAGGGCAGAAGTTAATTATTTGGTTTTAATACTGTGTCCAGTACACAGCCCGCTGAAATTTGAGGTGATGTTTTACATGCAGTTGGCAAAAAATTGGCTGCCTATCAGTTCAATCTCAGGCAAGTAATAAAGAAAGTTTAGGCAAGTTCCACTCACTGCGCAGCATTTTCAGTCACCCGTGGCTACTGGGCAACTGGCCATTTCGAGCACTGGTTATAAGTGCTAAACACAGACCTAGTACCGTGTGTGTTATTGTCGAATATAGCTTGTATATTGCCTTATAATGTAGCACAGGGCGTATTCCCCCTTATTACTAATGCAGCACTTCCCCAACCTCATTACGTCTCATTACAATAGACCAAGCATGCTATGTTACACATCGTCCAATTATTGTATCCTATTAGGCAAGGCTCGACACTAACTTTTTTTTTCAGTGGCCCGATCGGGCCACCAAAATCATTGATTTTCAATTTTTGGTGGCCCGAAAATGAAATCTGGTGGCCCGAAAAAAAAACAAAGAAAAACATTATAAATCTTTATTTCAATCTCGTATTGTATATTATTTGAAAATTGGGCCGTCTGATGCACTTGCACAAGTCTTTAAACAAACCCCACACAATGGCACACGCTGACATTGATGATTGAGGCATACATTTGAATTATCCATTCCACGGCATCAAATTTTCACCAGAATCTTGCATACCATTTTTACTACTTTCACTCATTATTTATCTAAACACGCGCGTGCACATGCTATCGATCAGTTCAGACGTTCAAGAAGATCAAAGTCACAGAGCATGCAAATATTAAAACAAGTAACTGTAATAAAACAACAACACATTGGCTTTTCATGTTAAAATAAAACATATACATTTAATCTAATGAAAGTTAAAATGTCTGGCAGGCTTTGAAACTGTAAAAATAAAATATTGCAGATTTAATAAGATAAAGTAGAACCCTAATTATATCAACAAAGTAGCCTGGGTGGGTACGCATGCATTTAAAAAGAAAAAGCAGCCATGTCTAAGACTAAGTTCAATATTTCGTTGCGTAAAGAGACAGAGAAAATGCTTAAATAAACTTACAAAGCACTAATATTACACTTCGGATTAAAATACTGATCATCTTCATGGAATAGTTCAGTTATTCTACGCGAACTTTCGAACGCTGGCAGTTTCGCTGCGGATCCGAAACAGTGAGCACCAGTGCAGCTAGCTAGCAATCAGGGTGACCAGACGTCCCGTATTTTGCCCATGTGTCCCGCGTCCCGTACCGACCCTTCCCGGGACGCATGTGTGTCCCGTATTTTTAACATTTTGAACAAAATAGATCAAAAAAGGAATAAATTTCATCATTTTTTTATTATGACAATTGTTTGCCTTCGAAACTCTCATCGCTCGCGTTCATTTTACATACGCTTCCACAGTACTCTGCAGACAGGCGTATTGTCTAGACGCATTGTCTGGTTCGCTTGATACAATGTAATCACATGTATTCGCTTGCAAATATGCTATGGCCTGCGCCCGCTCAGATTTTGACCTCTGGCTAGACTGGTTCGCGGCCGCACTGTTCGTCGCAGAGCGTGTACATTGTCTAGCAGAGCGTGAGGCCGGATACTAGTCTAACACAATAACGTGGCTTGTTGCAGCCCCAGTAGACGATCGATAAACCGTGCGCGCGTGTATGCCCGTGGTAGAATGCTGCACGTGCGTACGTGTGCCCTCGCTCCGCGAATTGCTCGCTCTCTTTTGAATGAGATTAGCACGTAAGAAACAATTATTTTTATCACATAGACACTTTGAAATTTTAGTGGCCCGATCGGGCCACCAAATTTTAACTTTTGGAAATTTTGGTGGCCCGACATCAAGTTTTGGTGGCCCCGGGCCACCGGGCCACCGCTAGTGTCGAGCCTTGTATTAGGTATCTTTATCTTATTAGGTATCGTGTATTTATAATGTTAGAGTGTAGATTGGGTTACACAATTTACAAGCATTTACTGTATGAAATATCACATATTTGTCCTGTTAGCAGTTAGAGTGTATGTTAGGTTGCGTAATGTACAAGCATTATCATATTAGATATCATGCATTGATTCTGGTACAGCGAACGGCCCGCAGTGTGGGAATCACAAACATTCGCAGCTAATTAAGAAAGCCATCGCATGGTTTTAGCATTTCTATTTCCAACGGTGGTCATATTGGATTTTGTGCATAGTGGCTACCAGGGGGCCACCCTAACTTGTATGCGGTTGTTTTTGAAAACCTTATGCCCATACCTAACAGCATGCCAAATTTCAAAGACTTGTCACAAAGTGCACAATTTTTATCAATTCCCTCCCAGCTATAAACAGTTTTGGTCTGAACGTTGGATGAAATTTCATGCAGGTGGACTGCTGGTTCCAAACATCCGAGTGCAGTTGTTAGCGCTTGAGCTTCTGGAGGTGGTACTGCCTGCGTGTGAGTCGAGCAGCCAGCAGGAGCTGATAGCCACCGTCGCGTCACAACTGTTCTGCCACCTGTCAGACAACATGTGGAGAGCACCGTTTGCAATTGCCAAAGAACAGGTACACATTTAAAACCAGAAACGAATACAATAGGAACGTAGCGTTGCCGAGGGTAAGAATGTGATACATGTGAATATATATATGTGTATAGATGGATGGATAGATAGATTGATGAGATCAGATTAAACAGAAAGACGGATAGATGGACGGACATGCATACAGACAGGCCGGCAGGCAGGCAGACAGACAGACAGACAGACAGACAGACAGGCAGGCAGACAGACAGACAGACAGACAGGCAGGCAGGCAGACAGACAGACAGACAGCCAGGAGAGAGAGAGAGAGAGAGAGAGAGAGAGAAAGAGAGACAGTTGTACAGACAGATACAGAGGTCGAGAGATTATAGGAATGGGGTAATGGACGAGCAATAGATGAGCATGCTCTACCTGGATAAAGAGATCACGTCCACGTGCCCTGCCCACCAACCCGTGCTCTACCCCTGTTACACATTCAGGCACAGCAGAAGGAGTCTAAGCTCGAGCGGCAGATACAGCGGCTGAGCGACACGGAGGACCACCAGCTGGCGCCACCGGAGATTGAGCCATGCGCGGAAAATGTTCCGGCCCAGGATGCGGCGTTCGACACCGACAGGACCGTGTGCTGCTCGGTAGAGGGCGGTAGCGTGCTCATCCACGGACACAGCGGCCGCGGATACGGCCTCGGCAACGTCGCTATCACGTCCGGTTGCTATCAGTGGAAGGTATGTTGTCTCGGTCAATAACGCTAGTGTATGTACTGGTTTCATACTTGACCCTAACTTCTTTTTGCCATCAGTATAATTTATGTCCTGGGTTCCTATCTAACTCTAACATCCTGCGACTACCAGTGTAGTTTATGTGCTGGGTCCCATATCTAACCCTAACATCTATCATTATTCACTACTAAATGGGTGTTAACTTTCCGTCTGTAGGCGGATTTCCATCTTGAATAAAATTATGATTTTTTTTCTGAAGTTTTAAATTTAAAAAAAATATTTTAAAGTGAATTGCATTTAACTGATTAACAGCTAATAATACGATCTTAACTATGTATGCTTGTTATATATTCTTGTATTTTATCCAAGTTTTTATGTTACAAATTATATAGGTTGCAGTATTTTCTAAATTATCTTATCAGGAAGCATCACCCAATGTGTTTTATATTGCACAGAATCCATAGGTCCGACCCTCCACCGGACCCAATTTTTTTCAGTCCCCACTTTTTTTTCTGTTAACACCCATGCTCCTATTTCGTGTACTCGGCTGGATCTGCATGACAGCGACGTGATCGTCGTACGATTTCAGTTCTACATCATGAAGGAGAACAGGGGCAACGAGGGCACGTGCGTCGGCGTGTCACGCTACCCGGTGCACGACAACAGCCACCGCACGACGACGGACATGTGGCTCTACCGCGCCTACAGCGGCAACCTCTACCACGGAGGCGAACTCTCGCTGACCTTCCCCAACTTCACGCAGGGCGACTACATCACCTGCATCGTCGACATGGATGTGCACACGATCGCATTCGGAAAGAACAATGAGGCAGGTGGCACAGTTGCATCGGCTGTGTTTGTCATCAGTGCTCGGAATAGCAATCCGCATACTAGTCTGAGACTGGTACCCATTGATGATTGATTTTACTAGTATCAGTGCTGGGAATAACAGTCCGCGTACTAGTCGTCTGGGACTGGTACCCATTGAGGATTGATTTTACTAGTATCAGTGCTGGGAATAGCAGTCCGCGTACTAGTCGTCTGGGACTGGTACCCATTGAGGATTGATTTTACTAGTATCAGTGCTGGGAATAACAGTCCGCGTACTAGTCTGGGACTGGTACTTATTCAGGATTGATTTTACTAGTATCAGTGCTGGGAATAGCAATCCGCGTACTAGTCTGGGACTGGTACGTATTGAGGATTGATTTTACTAGTATCAGTGCTGGGAATAGCAATCCGCGTACTAGTCTGGGACTGGTACCCATTGAGAATTGATTTTACTAGTATCAGTGCTGGGAATAGCAATCCGTGTACTAGTCTGAGACTGGTAACCATTGAGGATTGATTTTACTAGTATCAGTGCTGGGAATAGCAGTCCGCGCATAGTCTGGGACTGGTACCCATTGAGGATTGATTTTACTATAGGTTACATAAAGCAAGGCTCGACACTAGCGGTGGCCCGGTGGCCCGGGGCCACCAAAACTTGATGTCGGGCCACCAAAAATTTCCAAAAGTTAAAATTTGGTGGCCCGTACGGGCCACTAAAATTTCAAAGTGTCTATGTGATAAAAATAATTGTTTCTTACGTGCTAATCTCATTCAAAAGAGAGCGAGCAATTCGCGGAGCGAGGGCACACGTACGCACGTGCAGCATTCTACCGCGGGCATACACGGGGCGCACGGTTTATCCGTCTACTGCGGCTGCAACAAGCCACGTTATTGTGTTAGACTGGTATCCGGCCTCACGCTCTGCTAGACAATGTACACGCTCTGCGACGAACAGTTCGGCTGCGAACCAGTCTAGCCAGAGGTCAAAATCTGAGCGGGCGCAGGCCATAGCATATTTTACAAGCGCCAGCATACATGTGATTACATTGTATCAAGCGAACCAGACAATGCGGTTCTGGTGAAAATTTGATGCCGTGGAATGGATAATTCAAATGTATGCCTCAATCATCAATGTCAGTGTGTGCCATTGTGTGGGATTTGTTTAAAACTTGTGCAAGTGCATCAGACGGCCCAATTTTCAAATAATATACAATACGAGATTGAAATAAAGATTTATAATGTTTTTCTTTGTTTTTTTTCGGGCCACCAGATTTCATTTTCGGGCCACCAAAAATTGAAAATCAATGATTTTGGTGGCCCGATCGGGCCACTGAAAAAAAAAGTTAGTGTCGAGCCTTGCATAGAGGAAACCGAAATGTTCAAAATTGAGACTGGCTGGGTTGGTTTTGCAATGGAGCTTAATCTTGAATAAATGTGTTTCTTAATGGTTAGATATTTATAGCCCTTGCAAGTATAAGTTACTATATAACACAGTAGTAGGACTTTATATTTCACGATAAATGCAATGCTGTTGAAGTAATCAATATCATTTATAGTTTGTACATTTTAAATTTCAGGAACCTCATGTTGCATTTGAAGATATTGATGCAACAGAGCTTTATCCAGCAGTTTTGTTCTACAGTAGCAATCCTGGAGAAAAGGTACCTACATATTCTACAATGATTATAAACGTGCAACTCTGTATAACATTAGAAAACCAACGTATCCGCTTACCAAGAGGAAATTCATAAACTTAGATGTGATTGTAGATGTGTCGTTAACACACGTGTTCATGGCGGCGTGCGGACGATGCACAAACTAACACGTTGTGTCTCGTCGTAGGTTAAGATGCTAGACATGCAGATTCGGGGCCTCCCACGTGAGCTACTGCCCGGTGACCCTCTGTGTGCTCCGATGAACACGGCTCTAGCCGAGGCACATGTCCACCTCATATGCAGGTAAGTTCACAAGTCTCACAGCCCCTTCAGCTTCAAAGTTCTCACAGAACTACCAAAGAAAGTTTACTATCTGTGTCAAGCATGCCGCAGGAAGTCGACGACACAATTTAGTTTGCATTATCTCTGGAAAAACGTCCATAATGTATACGCGTGAATGTCGGTGAATTTTGGTTTGAGTAAATTGATTGTATATAATTAGCAAGAAAATATTGTTGTGATTGTGCTTGGGCAATTGTTTTTGTTTTGGTATATTACTCGATGCATCTCCGCAAGTTTTATTCTTACTGTCGTTTTCGCAACCTGTAACGTTCCTCGATGCAGGTTACACGAGGAGGGTAACTGGGCTTCGCACATCAATGAAGAGATACTTAGGCGTTTGGCATCAATAAAGTCCTTGATCGGAGCCGTGAAGGACGCGTGGCAGGAGGCGGGAGACGCGCAGCAATGGCAGTCGTCCAGCCCTGCTAAACCTGATCTAGGTAAAAGATTACATAAAATACTCGAATAATCCGTGATTAACTCGAATAGAAAAAGTGAATATCTCACTATGAGACTACGTCAAAGGCCAATACATGTTAAAACATGCCTACAATACTGACTATTCAATCCATGCGAGTCATTTTATGATTTCTTGTTCGTTAATTATGCTGAGTTCTTTCCCATGCAACGTCACGGACAATTTGCAGATGTTAAAGCCAACGAGTCGGAGAGTGGTGAGAAATGGGAGGAAAGTAAGGAGGTCAAGCTGAAAGATAGCGAGGAGGCCACAAAGCAGCAGGAAGAAGAAAAGGATAATGTGGAGACCACTGACAGGACTAGCCTTACTGATAATGAAGAAAAAGGCAGCCTGGAATCCCTCTGCCAGATGGTAATGCCAGTGTCGCTCATCACGATTTTTACAGTGGCACATCTTGGTAGTTCTAGTGTGCGTGAGTGCGTGCGTGTGTGCGCGCATGCGTGGATAATTTGAGCGGTCGTATTAGATATGAAAGCTTTTGTGTTTGTGACTGTGTGTGTGTGTACTGTGTGTTACTTTCACATGTAGTTTTGACTCCAGAGTAGTTACTGGTTAGCAGATGTTCTTTGTATGAGAGCAGGCGGTCCTTAGGAATCCCTTGATGCAAAATTATTTTCTACCTCTGTGATTATGCTGATTGGGTGGATCTGACTGCACAGCCATGTACACATACACATGTACGCACACACCTACGCACCCATGCACTCACGAACGCACTCACACAAGTATATATGATTAAATAAAAATGAACGATATTGTATGGATGACGTATAGCACGAATAATTAAATTTTTATGAACAGGTGTGGCCAGCGCTGGCTGTCATGGGTGGTGTGGACAGAGGCCTGCGTGCGGGTGGCAGTTGCCTTCACCTCGCCACTGGCAAGCGAGGTATCTTGCTCGGCGTTATCAAAGAGGGCACAACTACAGTCAAAGTGCAGTGGGAGGAAGACGTTACGGTCAGGTGGGTACGCGGGAAAGTACGCTGAAGCAGATTAGTGCAATCAGAATTATACATACTGTTTACCCCCTCTCGTTGCTTGCGTGGCCTATAGTCTGTTGCACTCTAGCCACTTCTGCGGTGTCACGGGATTATTGTTTTCGCATCTCTGAATTTATTACATGTTATGGCTGCTTGGCATGTCGGTAAGACCCAGTGAGGAAATTCCGTTGCGAATATTTCAGTATTTCAGTGTTTTTATGGTATTTACTGCTACGATTTCTGACTCATAGATTTGCATTGCTATGGAAATCCAACTAATCAATGCTCTGATTAACAGCAGCTTCACGTGTTCTTATTCATCACATAAGAAAATTCTAACTAGCTCCAGTTTCTTACTACCAACAAGATACACGGCGAAAAAATATTAAACAAAGAAGCGTAAATATTCAACACAGTTCCTTATCTTAGTAGATATGCGAAGGATTTTTTTGCGGTGGTCTAATACAGATCTCATTTGCAGTGACATCAACATCAAGAGCATAGAAGCGTGTAGCCAGGTGACGTTCGATGCCTCTAAGGTGATTGACTTCCCGCCTGAGTTGTTGATGGACCTTCTGCAGCTGTCTGGCACACTAGAGGAGAGAAACATTGCCGATCTCTTCCGGCTGCAGCATCGCAAACTACATCTTGGTACGGATAGTTCATAATAGAAGCGTTACGCCTCGGTGTTGGCTGTACCGTCGGCTTTTTCTTCTTGTATATCCACTTACTCTCATAGTTTAGTTAAACTGGGGCATTTGCTTTGTCTCGAAATTGTTTAATGGCAAGCATTTTCACAAGAGGTTTATGCCATTCTTGTTAATTCGTACGCATTGAAAACGTTGTCAGAAAACGTTACCAAAAACGTTATCAGAAAACGTTACAAAAAACGTTATCAGAAAATGTTATCAAAACGTTAAATGAGAAAACGTTATCAAAAACGTTATCAGAAAACGTTATCAAAAACGTTATCAGAAGTGAATAAAAACATTTGTTGAAAGGCTAAGAACGTTCTCCCTTCCTCCCTCCTACCCAGATGTCGCGCGGCGAGCGAGCACGCAGGCCAGCGGCTACGCCTCCCTGCAGGTCGTCGTCGCTGCGCCGACGCTGCGACCTCCGACCTCTCGCAGCGAGCCTAACCTCGCTGGCGCGTCGTGCGGCGACGACGCCGTCAGCGGCGACGTGCGTCTGCAGGTCGTCGAGAGCATCAGCACGCGCATGGTCACCGACATCATCCAGAGCTCGCTGACCGCAGTCGACCGCCGCCGTGCCGCTGACGCCGCGACGCACAACGCCGTCGAGCCGTGCGGCGCCGAGACGCCGACGGTGGCGCCCTCGCGGCACGAGGAGGCGGCGCCGCGCGACGATGCACCCCCGCCGGCGGTGGCGACGCCGGGAGACGAGCTGAGCATGATGCGCGTCGTCACCGTGCAGCTGGCGGCGCTGAAGGCCGTCGCCGCGACGATGGGATGCGCGCACTATGCAGAGATGATGCTGGTGCCGAACGCCGGGATGGTAGGAGGCGCCGGCGAGGACGCACGCGCGGCGGCGCGCGCCGTGATGCGGCACATGGTCGGCAAGGCGATGCAGACGTCGACGATACGACGTAATGTCACCGTCGTCGACATTGAGCGGGCGCACAGCGTGATCTTCAAATCAGCCGTGCAGGGTCACGCTGAGGATGAGACGGACATACGCGGCTTGCACGGTGAATGTCAAGCCACCTATATCATATCTATCTATCTATCTATCTCTGTCTATCTCTCTCTGTCTGTCTCTCTCTCTCTCTCTCTCTCTATCTCCCTCTCTCTATACATCAATCAATGAACACTTATCTTCTGTACTTTATTTCAAATGTGGTGTGCTTCCAGGATCAACACTTGGCCCTTTATTATTCCTAATCTATATCAATGATCTACCTGTTTGCTCTAATTTCAATAGTCGACTATTTGCTGATGATACTAACCTATTTCTATCACATTCAAGCCCTCACCATCTTTAAACAATGGTTAACCAAGAGATAGCTAAAGTAGATGCATGGTTAAAATCAAACAGACTCGGTTAACTACAAAAATATATATATATGATCATATGCAACAAAACACAGAAACAAGGAATACAAAACTTTAAACTTAGTATGGACTCGCCTAAAATAAAACAAGAAAACAGTATAAAATATCTTAGTCTATATCTATATCTTTATCTATATTATATATTATATAATAGATTTATTATGCATCATCATGTATATATATATGCACGGTGATTGTCGGATTGTCTGCTATATTGACTACATCGTGTCATCGTCGTGTCGTATCGTGTCTTCTAGAGAAGCTGGGCTCGCTGAGGAAGCGTAAGTCGTGCAGCCGCGCAACGACGCCCGCGCAGGACGTCGCACCGCAGCTGGAGGCTGCCGCACAGGTTCACGACCCTCCCGCCGTCATGACAACCAACATGGAGACCATGCCCAGCCCCTCGGCTCTGCTGCAGCAGGTAACGTGACCGCATGATGCGGTCGTTGACGTCGTAATTGGCAGTGGCAGCCGTCGCGGTGTCATTATTGTTGTCATCGTTGGTGGCAGTGGTGAGGGTGTCATCGTTGCTGGCAGTGGCAGCAGTGGCAGTGTTATTGTTATTGTACAATGAATAATTATCTACTGTGAGGTAATGTGAGGTGCAGACAGTAGCTCATAGTTACAGTCGAAAATTTGAAGTACTAGTAAAGTGAATTACTTGCTGTACCTCTTCGTAGGAAATATGTCTGCCACTGCCGATTGCACAAATACAGTGCACGTGTGACAAGCAGCGTGCAAACGAGCTTGATATTTATTGGAAATATATTTGTTTATCAGTACCATGCACCATATGATGATTCCCGTCCCTGCATTGTTTTTGGTTCGTGTGTTTTATGCATTGGTATCCCTACCAAGGAAACTCTGTCTTGCATATGCCATTGTCATGGGACCGTATTTCGAGCTTTGCACATTCACGTTTATTCTTGTTTTTTTCCCCCTTAACTTGGGAGTTATACAGCAGTGCGGTTTATTGTCCTATTAGACTCACTCTCGGCTGCCAGTTCTGATGCGAGAGTTGTTCCCAGCTTGGCCCATAGCACAGCATCTAGACAGTTTAACACAGTAGTACTGCATTTGAGACGATGCACACGAACGAAAACCCAAATGTGACCAACGCTCCGTGTACTGTGTGTACATGCGCAATAATCTGCACCAGTCCTGTTTGTCGTAGCATGACGTCCGGTTGCGAGACGCATGGCAGTTGTTTCGCGCTGGCCCACCACGCGAGTGTTGTGACTAACTGTCTGAGGTTTGCCTGTGCGTGTGTTTGTAGCTGATAACACCGCAGGGAGTGCTGAACATGCGGCGTGGAGTCGTGCGTCACCGCGCGGGCCGCACCATCTACACCTCCTCTCCACTGCAACAGGTACTCTTCCTCGTTACCTTCTCATAGTCCCCAAGGTCTTGTCACAGGTCTCTATGTAATAGGTCACTATGCTATAGGTCATCATGCCATAGGTCACCATGACATAGGTCACTATGCCATAGGTCATCATGTCATAGGTTGCCATGTCATAGATTACTATGCCATAGGTCACCATGACATAGGTCCCTATATTATATGTCACCATGTCATAGTTTGCTGTCATAGGTCACTGTCATTAATTGCTGTGTCGTAGATTGCTATGTCATAGAGTTCTATGCCATGGATCACTTATGGTAACTATATTATGGATTGCTATGTCATGGACTGTTATTCTATATATTGTTATGAATATGTTTGTGTAGCATCACAGTCAGTTGTGCATGTGCTAGTGTGGGGTTACAGACAGCTGTGTATATGTTGGTGTAAGAGTACCAATAGTTATAAATGTATGTTTGTGTCACAGGTAGAGATACGTACAGCTACATAGGTGTGTAGGGTTACAGACAGCACTGTGTGTGTTGTGTAGGGTTACAAACAGCACTGTGTATGTTTGTTTATGATTACAAACAGCACTCTCTATGTTTGTTTAGGGTTACAGACAGCCATGTGTGTGTTTGTTTAGGGTTACAGACAGCACTGTGTGTGTTGTGTAGGGTTACAGACAGCCATGTGTGTGTTTGTTTAGGGTTACAGACAGCCATGTGTGTGTTTGTTTAGGGTTACCGACAGCCATGTGTGTGTTTGTTTAGGGTTACCGACAGCTGTCAACGGCTGGATCGCCACCCGATGAGCAACAGAGTGACTCTGCAGCCACCTTGCCACCAAGACCGAAAACAGGTGCGGAACATTCTGAATATTAACAACGTGACATATTAGCGAAATAATGATATATCGAAATTATACTTCACAAGCATATTCGGCTTATGTGGTTGGTTCATAATTAGTACTCCTAGTATTAATAAATGCGGTAGGCAAGCTTGTGGTCACTTGGTTCCTGTAGGTTATTATTAAGATAGACTCACCCGAAATTCGCTTGTGTTTATTTCTGTTTATTTGTGTTGTTCAGCACCGGTGACACCACGATCTCCGTCACCACCTCCACCACCGATCGTAGCACCTCTCATGGAGATGGGATTTACCCTGCAACACATATGCAAAGCTGTGGAAAAAACAGGTAGCGTTGAAAATCCTACCCTCTGGTGTCGTGTCGCTGACAAAATATGAATGTTCATGCTGCTTCTATGTGGATAAACAGGGCAATAGGTAACGTATACAAGTGCAGCAAACTGAACCTGTGTGTCACTGTATTGTCACATGTGCGAGTGATTAACTGACATTACTGTAGCCAACAGTGTGGTGTAGAAGTGATTAGTTGACATTACTATAGCCTACATCTGTGTGTTGGCTTCATTGGTTAGGTCTGTCTGGTGAGAGCTCAGCCCATGGCATTAATACTCTCGCCACTTGGATGATCGAACACCCGCACAACGATGCAGAATTTGGTGCCTGCTTACCGGGTGCCATGTCTGCAGCAGTGGCTCCCTCTGGTGCATGCAGCCTAGAGCGAGAGAAATCCACGGAGAGGCACCCACCATTGGCTAGATTACTCAATAGGTATGCAGATAAGCACAGGAATTACACTACCCGTGAAAATTTTCCGACACCAGTTATAATGTTTGCCGCATCCTCTCTTGGTTTCTTGTCATAACCCAAGTCGGTGTGACATGTGTCCGCATAATTTTACAGTCGCGTTGGTCCATCAAGTCACTCAAGTCATTCCGCCAAATGCGATATCCATTAGATCGAGTTTTCGTATATATATATATACGTCAGTACGTAATTATTTGCTGAGCATTTGCTGGTATTGCTACAAACATTACTAATCTATAAAACTTCTACAAATATTGTCGTATAATTCTGATATTCTATCGAGGTTATTCACTAAGCATCTGCTTAAATTGTTGCAGGCGGGAGTCAGCCGATCAGATTCATGAAGATCAGGAGCGATCGTCTCGTCTCTTCGAGTCGGTTGACCTCACTGACCGCGACCTTGAGCGTCAGAGGTCATCACGCTGCGAGCGGGTGGCCGTGCTTGAACGCCAGCGTCCGATCTCAGACATCCGAGCATTCGTCACGAGCACGAGCCGGGCGCCATCTTGTGAGTGTTGTAACAGCGAGCATGGCTATATGCTATTGTGATGTTACTAAAACATTGTAGTGTTACAGGATTGCCATTAGTTATCTAGTGTTGCAGGCTTGTGAAAATGTTATACATAACGTAGCCAGTGTGGGTGTAAATTGAGAATTGCCTTGTAATAGTCTTCCTCTAATTGTTGCATGGTCTTTTGTAGAAAGTAGACCTATTCTACTATGTAGTTAACAATTATTATTTTAACAACATAATTATAATTAGTTAATAATATCAGTTAATAATGTGTGTACTTTTGCTAAATTATTACCCTATTTTATAATAATAATATTAATAATAATAATAATAATAATAATAATAATATCCCAGTAACTACGCTAAGACAGATTATGTATCACAATTTGAAAGGAAACCCAGTATATAATTGTCATCTGATGAATGCAAACGAAACGACGCTCGCTCTACCTCCCACGTCGCGTCAGCCTGATATATGTATCGCGTCGCTACAGCAGCCGGCGGCGGTAGCAGGGAGCCGCGCGAGATCACGCGCGAGCGTCTACACGTGAGAGGCGAGGCGCAGCCGATGTACGACGACATGCTGGACATCGACGACGACGCGGAGTCCGACGGCATGGAGGACATGTTTAGCTCAGAGTTCAACGACCGCGAGCCGGCCGGCCTGGCGTTCGTAGACGTGAGTGCTGCTAATGCTACAACTGCTACTGCTGCCACTACTGCTGATGCTGATACTACTGCTGCTACAACTGCTACTGCTGCCACTACTGCTGATGCTGATACTACTGCTGCTGCTGATACTACTGCTGCCACTACTGCTGCTGCTGATACTACTGCTGCTATTACTGCTGCTGCTGATACTACTGCTGCTGCTGCTGTTGCTACTGCTACTGCTGCTACTGCTACTGCTGCTGCTACTACTACTACTACTACTACTACTACTACTACTACTGTCTGCTACTGCTGCTATCTAGCTACATCTGCTGCTGCTGCTGCTGCTGCTGCTGCTGCTGCTGCTGCTGCTGCTGCTGCTACTACTACTACTACTACTGCTGCTGCTGCTGCTGCTGCTACTGCTACTGCTACTGCTACTACTACTGCTACTGCTACTACTGCTGCTACTACTGCTGCTACTGCTACGTACTACTGCTGCTACTGCTATTACATATTACTGCTGCTACTGCTGCTGCTGCTGCTGCTGCTACTGCTGCTATTACTGATACTACTGCTGCTACTGCTGCTGCTGCTGCTGCTGTTGCTGCTGTTGCTACTGCTGCTACTACTGCTACTGCTGTCTGCTGCTGCTGTTGCTGCTGTGCTGCTGCTGCTGCTGCTGCTGCTGCTGCTGCTACTGCTGCTGCTACTGCTACCATTAATGTTGCTGCGGCTACTACTGCTACTGCTGCTGCTGCTGCTGCTGCTACTGCTACTGCTGCTGCTGATACTACTGCTGCTGCTGCTACTACTACTACTACTACTACTACTACTACTACTGCTACTGCTACTGCTACTGCAACTGCTGCTGCTGCTGCTGCTGCTGCTGTTGTCTGCTGCTGCTGCTGCTGCTACTGCTGCTGCCGCTACTGCTACCATGCAGCATGATTCTCACTCCGTTGTCTCACTCTGCAGGCAACTATATAGCTAGATTATACGCAGCAAGGGAGAGATATAGAGGCAGATAGGTACAGGTATAGTTATATCTAGCTACATGTAATCCAACTATCTAGTTGGCTATAATTGGAAATAACTATATTTATTATATATATAACTGATATAACTATATATACATATGTATATATATACATATGTATAGTTATATCTAGGTATATAGGTTGCCACGTATATGTATCTATATATGTATCTAGAGCTGTATACAACTAGATTGATCGATTTGCTCTCCATTTCCGATATGCTTATTATTATATCTATATTCTTTCGTTATCATACAGTGGGTATCTATTACTATCTATGCTAAGTCTGAAAACCTCAGGTGCGATTTGTTTACATTTATTATAGTGTATAATGTGCAATATCGTGAACATATTTATACACGTATATAAATAATTTCACAATAATATTTATTGTAGTGCGTAACACGCATATATGATACTGCACAATATTTATCATAATGCATAATGTACACATATAACAGCGTGTAATAGTTATCACAGTGCATAATAGACAACATATATTATACCTGTATGATATCGCAGCGTGCATTGCAGTTTGCACCGGACTTGGACGACTATGAAACAGCCGTGAAGTGTGAGCTGTGTGACATCTTCACTCACAGCTTCAACCGACACATGAAGCTGAACCACCCTGGCTGCGGCGGCAGCTGCGGCAGGTAGGACAGGCGACAGTTGCTTCATGGATGTATAGACGCTCCTCACCAGAGTGCAGCGATGGCATAAGCCATATCCAAAACTATGTTTTTATCAGTATCCTTATTCATATCGATATCGTTATCTATTTCTGGATGTAAGTAATGGAATAGAATGTTTGAGATTTCTAGATTCGTGTAACTGCACTGTATTAACTACACCAGAAATTGTGTCGTATTGTTGGAGTTACTTAGCCCTCGAATACTGGATCCTACGTGTTGTACTGTTCATACTGAACTATGATTCCCCCCTGTGAAATATGAAATGCACCAGATTCCTGTCGCATCACATGTTGATTGTCGTGTCACATACAGATACTGCCCTTAAGGGCCGGACACACTAGGCGATTAAATCGGGCGATAAAATCGGGCGACAAAATCGCTCGATTCTATCGCGCGAGTCGAGTGGACACACTAGGCAATTAAATCGCCGGTGAATGAAGGCCCGTCTCCACACACGCGGCACGACACGACACAGCAAAACGCAGCGTCGTTGTGCTGAAAAAAAAATACATTGTGATTTCGCGCATTGTGTCTGAGCGCATTGTGCTCACTCTGGTTCAGTGATCAGAAATTATGCATGTGCTTGTTGTCCATTGGCTGATGAATTGTACAATCGGGCGATGTTATCGCCGGCCCCGGACACACTAGGCGATGAAATCGGGCGACAAAATCGCCCGATAATATCAAAAGTTTTGATCTATGCGATGAAATCGGGCGATGAAATCGGCGGCGATTGAGTGGACACACTAGGCAATTTAAGGGCGTTTTGATCGCCCGATGTAATCGCCCGATTTAATCGCCTAGTGTGTCTGGCCCTTTAGGCAAGACAGTTTATTCTTTTATGCTTCAGTCGATGCCCACAATCAAAACGGTTTTTATATTGTTGGCGTGCACTGCTAACAACCTCGCCCACACAGCAGTCAGTATAGCTTTGCTGAAGAAAGTCTGCTCACGAAACCACAATTGCTAAAATCTTATTATGCTCCACCATTGGAGCCAAACAAAAACAAAGAGCAAATCGAAACAAACCAAAAGCAAAAACAAAACCAAAGAAACAAATCGCATACTGTCTGTGCGGTCCTACACTTGTTCTCCATCTATGTAGTGGGCTCAATCGAGCTCGCCTTGTCGTGTTGCAGGCAGGGATACCGTAGCAACGGTTCGTTTGTCGATGGCTGGTTCGGGGGCACTTGTGGCACGGGCAATCCCTACTACCTGCTCTGCGGACAGTGCAGGGATCGCTACCTGGCACAGAAGGCTCTGAAGACGGAAGCGCGATCGCTAGGGATGGGAGTGATCAGCTCGAACCTAGCTGAGGTTGTGAGTGTAGCGCCAGACCTGCTGGGGAGCTCCGAGTCTCCGGCTGAAGGTAATGCCAGCGCACGATCGCATGTTTGTTACCTAGACTTTAATTCCTGTTAAATTATGAGTAAGTGTGACGGTATTTGTAGTGTCTGTTATCTAGCCATTAATGTATGTTAGATTATAATTAAAAGTGACAGTATTTGTAGTGTCTGTTACCTAGCTATTAATGTATGTTAGACTACGAATGAATGTGACGGTATTTATAGTGTCTGTTAAGTAGCTATTAATGTATGCTAGACTGTGAGTACGTTTATCTGTGTTTGTATTTGTATTGTCTGTGTTGTGTTGTGTTGTGTTGTACACATCTATTGTGATCTATGTCGTTTGCTATCTAGCTAGCTAGTTAGAATGTTAAAAGATATAATAGCATTTATAAATGTATGTTACCTGCTAATTAGTGGTAGACGAAAACAATAATAATGACAATAAAGGGAGGTAATAAAGTATTTCACCAAGCAACGATTGTCACTATAAAATTCATAGCACGCACGCACACACATGAACACTCATGCACGCACCCATGCACAACACACGTGCATAATGGATCTTCACTGCTGTGGGACAGAAGCATTTCAGCATCGAGATATTCTGTGTTTCTCCGAAGTGATCACCTGTGTAACTGTCAGTTCGATCCTAACCCTAACAGAGGACTACAGCCTGCACGAGGAAGACGTGGAGAACTGCCTGTCCGGTGCTAAAGGCTTCGATGCCGTGAAGACTTTTCTCGGTCTCACTGACCACCGGTCAGCCCCCGACGTCGTCCGATTCACCGACACCGACCCGCTAGGATTGAAATACGTGCCCATCGCCTGTAGCGACACGGTCAACATCGATGGTCAAGGTGATCCCCCCCATCCCCGCATCATACGTGCGAAAGTTTACAGAGGGTCTCAAGGTTAATATATATGAGGATACTTCGCTAACAGGATCTAAGCAGCTTGCGGCAAGGACTGGGTGAAAGTAGAGAGGTTAAAGTGGGGCATGAGTAAAAGTTAGTGATATTTAGTAATGACTTTATACTAGGTAAAGATAGGTTTGCAAGGTGCTATAGATTGCTAGAGATTGATGTAAAGATATGTCTGTCCTATTCTTCATTCGATGAGGTGTTCACTGTACATTCCCTAGTGGTATTCAGTGTTAGTGCGCGACATTTATTCTTCTATGATTCGTGAAGGAATCCTTATTTTACAATACAGTTATTCTTGCGTATGTGGGCTTGTTGCATCCTTTCGTGTGAATGGATACCACTCGTGATTCTTCTCGACTTTTTACCTTACGTCCATGTCACCCTGCTGTATATGTCTGCGTATAGGAGTGGCAGGGCAGAGTAGAGAGGAGATGGCGAAGACATTGGGAGAACAGGCAGCTCTGCTGTCGACCGCACATGACCGCATGCTGGCCTTACAGCGCATGCTCGCAGCTGCCCAGGTGCTTGTCGCTAGAGAGATGGTGATGCGCGCACTCTCACTGCTGTCAGTCAGGTATGGCCAGAGGGTGCACTTGACGAAACTATGCACTTAGCATTATGATTTTCCTTTACAACAGTTGTTACTGAGGTTGCTTACTTCAGTTTATATTCCAACCATGAATAATCAATCAACTAATTAATTAATATATATATATATATATACGATATATGTATGTATATATACATATATGTATATACATAATATTAATTAGGTTATAAGATTAATATAGATAGGGGTTCAACCACTATAAGTAGGCGAACAAAACAATCATAAGCTGACTATGGGAAGTTATTTTACAGCATGCGCGCATAACTGTAATAAAACATGGTAACGACTGGATAAAATCGGGAGATGGCTAGCCATACTACGGTGCGTCATCAACGGCTGCATCGTCGTCGCTGCGTGTGGCGCACATGCGGTCGCTTGTATGACCTGGCTTCCTGTTTCAGCAATTCGGCGTGCAGCCTCTCCGCCGGTCTCGAGGCGATTGGTCTCGCCGACATACGACTCATCGTGCGACTCATGTGTCTCACGGCTGCTGGGAGGATAGAGTTCCCGAGCTCGAGTCTGCACCGACACGTGGCTCCCACGATACCGGTGCGTCGGGCTTACCGCGATGGCCATTTTCTCATTTTATTCTCTTTTTTTGCTTTTTAGCTTATCTGACATAGTCAGATGCAGCTTGTAGAATCGCATGAGCGTGCGTCCGTGCGTCCGGCCGTGGGTCCGTCCGTGCGTCAACAGTTGGGCAAAAATCTAAACAGCTCGACGTACAGTCACGATATTCGGGACGTGGGGGGGTAATCCGAAAACGAGTTGGGATGTCGAAGCTGGGGGTCAAAGGTCAAAGGTCAAGAGGTGTAAAAGAAGGGAACATTCACTCCTTAACTTAAGGTATAGGGAGGAAATGCAGAATTGCGGCACAAATCTAGGCTCGTGATATGTTCTGTGTATAGCATCATGTGTAAATGGATGAGTGCTTACCTATTCTGTCTTGCAAATAGTTGTTGCTATACTACGTACGATGGGAGCTTCCATCTTTTAATCTTAAGACATTCAACGTACGCGCCATCTCGTGGCAACTTTTCATAACGATCCAACGAACATTTCTTCGAGAAGGTTCCTTATAGCATCCCAGTGTTTGAAATAGAGGCTATTTCCGTTTGTCCGTACTTGTCCATTTCCATGGAGGACAAGTAGATCTGTCCGGTAGCTTGTCCGCCGGACAAGCAACTTTTTTAGAGCAATTTTTCATAATTTTCTACCATCGCTGGCCGCTTGCTGGAAACCCGAGTTAACATAGTATAAACATGGGCTGCCGGAGTGCCACCCCGAATTAACATATAGTATAAACATATATGTGAAGTTATATAAAAACGTTACCACCTTGCTAGCTCCACGAAACGGTCTTGCTGGGTTAGAAGACGCATCAGACAATCGGTCTGATAGACAATCAGACATCTCTATAGACAATCAGTCGCACAGCCTCGTCCGGCAGCACTACCGCCTCGAGAAAGAGAGAAATTGAGAGAGAGGGGGAGAGAGAGCGAGGGAAGAGAGTGACAGAGAGAGAGAGAGGGAGAGAGAAGGAGAGGAGAGACAGAGAGAGAGGAAGAGAGAAGAGAGAGAGAGAGAGAGAGAGAAGAGAAGTGAGAGAGAGAGAGAGAGCAGAGAGAGAGAAGAGAGCGAGAGAGAGAGAGGAGGCAAGAGAGAGAGCTGATAGAGTGAGAGAGAGAGAGAGAGAGAGAGAGAGAGAGAGAGAGAGTGAGCGAGAGAGAGAGCGAGTGTGATCGAGGGAGAGAGAGAGGGAGAGAGAGCGAGTGTGATCGAGCGAGAGGGGGGGAGAGAGAATGAGAGAGACAACAAGGGAGAGCGAACGTGGCGATGGGAGGGTGCTCTTGATTCGTTTGCCAGTGAGTTTAGCATCAGAACACCTGCCGTCAGGTGAGCGCTGTCGCTCTGCGGCACTTGTTTTGTATTCTTCTCACGTTCTTTGTTGTTGTTGGGCGGGGGCCTCTCTAGGAGGCGTGTTATTTGTTTTGGCGAGCTTAACCACGACAACAGCGTTTTTCACGGTCCGTGACTTCACTTCTCAAGAGTCCTTGCGTTATACGCGCTGCACTCATGCTTGGGTGTGGATGTGCACCTGTTTGTAAGATATGGTGTTTGTGTCCGTTCCCATCGTATGTTTTGCATGCATTTCTCCTCTCAGGATCTTGGCGGCTTGAATGCATCGCTGGGCCTTAAAGGAAAGTATGCTATCAGCATCCAGTACCTCAGCACGGCCGTGAGCGCCCTGACAAGAGAGCATCCAGAAGCATCGCAGCTCCTGGTGCAGCTTTGCGTTCAGGTTTGTCTTCAGTTTGATGGTATCAATTTTTAAGGATGTGCATGTGTGTGCGTGTGTGTGTCTGTCTGTCTGTCTGTCTGTCTGTCCCTGTCTGTCTGTCTCTGTCTGTCTGTCTGTCTGTTTGTCTGTCTGTCTGTCTGTCTGTCTATATGTCTGTCTGTCTGTCTGTCTGTCTGTCTGTCTGTCTATATGTCTGTCTGTCTGTCTGTCTGTCTGTCTGTCTGTCTGTCTGTCTGTCTGTCTGTCTGTCTGACTGGCCATGTGTGCGGGTGCTTTTATGTGTGCGTATATGACCTTGAACTGCAGTAACAAGGCAACAAAATCTAACAACCACATAATCGCTCGACCATTTTACCGGAGGCATGTTGTCAGACACATCATAAGTAGTTGAGACATCATGAGTTTAAAATGTCACGAATTTTAATGACAATACGATGCCATGCTGACATCTGAAACAGAACGACAGCTGTTCGGAATGTTCAGAATTACTGACTGCACAGTCTCTGACTTGTTCGTGAATGGAATATGCAAAGCACATGAAATAAGTAACAGCGTCTTTGTAAATATTCACCTCCATCACGTTCTCCGTGTGAACAATTGTATATTTGCTTCAATTGGAAACGCAAACGCAAACTGGTTAAATTCGGCCACCTGTACCTAATGCCAAAAAACAGACTTGTGTAACAGAGTAATGATTCTGTGAATTATTGTTGCATTATTCTTCAATTCAATTTTTGTATGAAGTCATGTTGCGTCTACTGTAGGCAGGGTTCTCCAAGCTTTTTTATTATAGCAGGGGGGGTGCTGCCTTTACGGTCCTAGTTGCAAATCGCCGAAGGCGGTTTGCGTGCTAGGGGGGTCCGGGGGCATACCTCCCCGGAAAATTTTGAATTGTAGAAGCTCTGAGATGCAATCTGGGACACTCTAGACTCATATCGCTTCAAAGTTTATTCCGATATAAACAACGTGTATTAATTGTTTGAACTTCTTGTGTATACACCAGCATGGCGGCTTATGATATTTAGAGTGGCGGGTGCATTTTAGGATGGCGGGGCTCGACGATAGCCTGGCAGGCCGCCAGGCTATAAGTGCTCTTGGAGAAGCCTGCTGTAGGGTACATGGTAGTTAGCCTGTTTAAAATGTGTTTTGTTCATTCATTCTAGTAGGGGCACAGTGAGTGTCCCTTCTTATTGTAAATGGCCTTTGGTGCTACTGACTGCCATACTCGGAACCATTATCAAAAGCATCATAAATAGTCATAACATCAGGAGTAAATAATAGAGATCTCTATTATTCACTCCTGATAACATGCATCAAAAAAGGGTTGACGTGAAACTTCCAGCGGTGGTGGTGGTCACTCCTTAGACCTGTGATATTGTCACGTATCTACTTGCATGGGTGTTAACTGTCTGTCTCGATAAAAATTCAGACTTTTTTAGAATTTTTTTAAAAATGTAAAAAATATTAAAAAGTTAATTGCATCTATTAATCTTAACTGTGTATGCCTGTTATATATTCTTGTATAATAATGTTTTATCCAAGTTTTTATGTTACAAATTAAATTTTATTAGTATTTTCTAAATTTCAAAATCTAAAAGTCTTATATTTAAATCTTATCAGGAAATGTCACCAAATGTGTTTTATATTGCACGGAATCCATAGCTTCTGGGGGGATATTTTTTTCAGTTCTTACTTTTTTTGTTAACACAATGTCACATTGTCACATGTAAATAGTTATGAGGTGCGTCAAAAAGGCTGGCATGAAACGTCCTGCATTGGTGGCGGTGACACCTTAAACCTCGTGATAACCATCTTACTTGCGATGACAATATAACTTTATTAAAAAAATATTATATTTAATATTATTTCATAAAAAATATCAACTTAATATGACTTTACTGACGACGTGTGCGCTTGCTCGCAGGACCTCATGCTGGCGGCGATGGGGCTGAACACGAGCGTGATGGACGACGCGAGGAAGCGCAAGCACACAGCGAGCAGCGCCGCAGACGCCTTGCACCACCACCGCGCTCTCTCCTCACCCAGCTTCGCAGTCACGCAGGCTCTCGTCGCGCTGCTCGCCTGCAGCGGCGGCGGCGTCCTCGGGGACGCCATCCTGCCGTCGCCTAGCAAGGACGACGCGGCAAAGTGTACGTGCGATGCGGCGGAGAGTTTCAACGCGGCAGCTTGCGTTACGCCTGCGGGTTGTCACGGCGATGTAACACTCGCGGTCTGGTCACTCATCGTCATTATGACATTATTATTCATTATGTCATCATTTCCTCGACGTGTCATAATAACTTCTGTGATTATATTGTGATAATTTCATCTCGTATTTTCGCGATCACATTCCATAACTTCATAGTCAGCCTAAGAATGTGTAAACAAAGTTGTTAGAATATGTATTTACGATATTTAGTTTGCTGGAAACTAGATGCTCATATTAACTGATAACTAGATGTATGATATTTACAGCTAACAGCCCGATGAGAGCTTGTAGTAATGTCGTGATTATCTCCTTTCTCATCTTGCCCCTGTGTCATTGGCATTGGTCTTATAAGTGTCATCATACTTAACTGGCTCATATTTAATTGCATAATTATATCGATAACAGGGCCCTAGCTTGCAGTCGTTCCTAATTTTAACGAGTAGTACGTTGCTCCCACTGTACAGTATACAGAAATCAGTGTCGTTTCATCAGTTGGGCATTATTTCTCGTGTCATAGGAATTTTCTTTCTCTTCTGTGATTATTTTGTGATAATTTCATCTCGTATTTTTGTGATCACAGCTCGTAACTTCATAGTCAGCCTAATCTATAATTTTCCTTCTCTTCCAGCGCCACCGCAGAGTATGGAGAGTAAGAAAATGGACTTGATGCCGCTCGCGAATGCGCTCTCGGCGTGCGTGCTGTCCGCCCGGCTGCCCAGCCAGCACCGTGAATGGGCAACACATCAGCTACTGAGGTGAGCTACTCTGTCGCCGTTAGATTCAATAATGTAACCCAACAAGAGTAGTAGAATTACATTACTACTCTTTTTGGGTTACATTATTGTATACAACTACCTATGCTCATACGACCTACTCTTGTTGGGTTACATTATTTGTATACAA